TGGGCTGCTTTGGTTCGCGTTCTTCGTTATCTCAGGGGTATCATCTTTCAGGGCTTATTGTTGTTCTTTAATTCCTCTTTGGACTTGGTGGCCTATGCCAACTCTGATTGGGCTAGTGGTGATGTTACTGATCGTAAGTCTACGTTTGGTTTTTGTATGTTTCTTGGAGATTCCTTGATCTCTTGGAAAAGCAAGAAACAATCAGTCGTTACTCGCTCTACTGCCGAAGCTGAGTAGGTGGACAATGGAGCAACTGTCAATATTCTCCCTTCCAAAACTCTTGAGGGCAATAGGTAAGTCAATGGAAGATTTGTTGCCTACTGATATTAATATAAGTAATTTTGCTGGGGGATCATCTGAAGCAAGGGGAGTTGTTGCTATCCAACTTCAGGTTGGTTCAAGGTTAATGGGAACCACTTTCTTTGTGATTGATTCCACTTCTAACTACAATGTGCTGCTAGGAAGGGATTGGATACACCTTAATGGGTGTGTACCATCTTCTTTGCATCAAGCTTTGATTTTCCTAACCAGTAATGAGCAAGATGAACAGAACGGAATGGAGATTTACTGGGCAGATGCCAACCCTTTTCTAGCAGATGTCCACAACATAGAGGTTGTACTCTATGATGAAGACTTAGGACCAGTGGAAGTAGTTGAAGATGATGTTAAGTCCCAAGGGAAAAGCTTGACTAATGAAGAGTTCAAGCACATCATAAAAGGGGGGTTCAAGCAGATAGGCCAAGAATTGGCCAAACCAAGCCTGATGAAGAAACAGAAAGGGCTTATGATTGAGGAAGTGACAGAAGTTAGAGATGCAGATGTAGACGTGAAAACAACAGGCTGGATGAGACAGCCACAACCCTTGTAATTAGGTCCACTTTTGTTAGACTTTTTAATTTCTTTCTTGCAAGTAGGTTTAAGTTTAAATCAATGCCTGTTTGTTTATGGGCAGAATGTGTAATAGACAATAGCCCTCAGAGTTATAAAGATGTGCAATTAGAACATTTGAGAGCTGCTTTTGCGAAGTTGGATGACCTTAAAGCGGATGTTCAAGATCCTTTGGAGGAATTCAACTTGGGTACTGAGGCCTATAAGAGGCCAATCTAGTATTACAAACAGGCCTGTCAGGATTCTCATTGGGTTCAAGCTATGGAAGATGAGTTGTCTACTTTACAAAAAACTAGTACTTGGGAGTTGGTTCCTTTGCCTGTTGGTAAGAACCTGGTTGGTTGCAAATGGATCTACAAAGTCAAGACTCATTCTGATGGTTCTCTTGAGCGTTACAAAGCTCATCTGGTTGCTAAAAATTTCTCTCAGGAGTATGGTATTGACTATGAGAAGACATTTGCTCCTGTTACCAAAATAATTGCTGTCCGTACTTTGATCCCTGTTGCTGCTGTTCATTCTTGGCCTCTTTATCAGATGGATGTTAAGAATGCTTTTCTTAATGACCATCTCATTGAGGAAGTTTATATGCGTTCTCCCCCTGGCCTTCACCATCCCTCTGGTTAGGTTTGTCGTCTTCGGCGTGCTCTATATGGTCTAAAGTAGTCTCTTCGTGCTTGGTATAATCGTTTTCAGATTGCTGTTACCGAGCTCGGGTTTCATCTTTCTGCTTCCGACTCTACTTTATTTCTGTGACATACCTCAGCTAGTTTTATTGCTCTCTTACTCTATATGGATGATATAATCATCACTGGCTCGGACTCTTCTGCTATCTCTGAGGTCAAGCAGCATCTTTTCCCCACCTTCGAAATGAAAGATCTAGGTCCATTACGATATTTTCTTGGTATTGAGGTTGTTTCTTATCCTAAGGGCTATTTTCTGTCTCAGGCTAAGTATGCTGATGAAGTCATTCATCGTGCTGGTCTTACTGATACTAAGGTTTCTGATACACCTATTGAGCTTAATGTGAAGCTTAACTCTACTGATAGTGTCCCTCTGGATGATCCCACTTTATATCGCGAGCTTATGAGTTGTTTAGTTTATCTAACTGTCACTCGCCCTGATCTTGCTTATACTGTTCATGTGGTTAGTCAGTTCGTTTCTGCTCTTCGCTCTACCCATTGGGCTGCTTTGGTTAGCGTTATTCGCTATCTCAGGGGTATCATCTTTCAGGGCTTATTGTTGTTTTTTAATTCCTCTTTGGACTTGGTGGCCTATGCCGACTCTGATTAGGCTGGTGGTGATGTTACTGATCGTAAGTCTACATCTGGTTTTTGTATGTTTCTTGGAGATTCCTTGATCTCTTGGAAAAGCAAGAAACAATCAGTCGTTACTCGCTCTACTGCCGAAGCTGAGTATTGTGCTATAGCTCATGCCACTGCTGAAATTGTTTGGCTTCGTTGTATCTTGTCTGATTTGGGTGTCTCTCAATCTTCTCCGACCTCTCTCTATTGTGACAACCGCAGTGCTATTCAAATTGCCTATAATACTGTCTTTCATGAGCGGACAAAACATATTGAAATTGATTGTCACTTTATTCGCCAGCATCTGCAGTCTGCCTCTATCTCGCTTCCTTTCATCCCTTCGGCTTTGCAACTTGTGGACTTTTTCACCAAGACTCACACTACCGCTCGATTTCAGTTTCTTCTTAGCAAACTCTTAGTGTTTTCTGCTAAAACACCTTGAGTTTGAGCGGGGGTGTGAGAATATAGAATATATTGTGTGTTTTTTCTATATGATTATGGTTGTACAAGTTAGAGTCCTATTAGAGACATAATTGTATTTTCCCTTTTGGTTTAGGATTTAGAGCTATATAATCTAAGGTTTAATTGTAATCTTTGATACAATTGAATATATAGAAAAGCTTTCAGGAATCTTACAGTATTCCCTAGTAACCTTAAAACCAGGGATACAGAAAAAGAACTGGTTCAACCACAAAAGGTAAAAAGCTATCTTTTCTTCATCAGTGGGTTCCAAACCAAATTTTTGGTATTTCTTCATAAAACTCCCACGGCCAATATTGGTAACAATATTGAAGTCAGCTTTTTGAGGAGTCAAAAGGGCACTAATTTGTTAGCTATCCACAGGGAGGCCAGTCAGATGTACAACATCTAAAATAGTAAGGGAGAGCATACCACGTTTCACCAGTAAGGAATTGTAGGAAATAGACCAAACGCAGGTGGCAGAACTCATTGTCCATTTGTCCATATCAAAGGCAAAGGTTAACAAACGTATAGCATCATAGATACCAAGGGCTCACCAGAGGTCCAAGTCGTATTTCATGATTCTATTAACCCAAAGCTTCTAGTCTGCATTAGGTCTTATCCATGATCGCAGAGGGTTGCAGCTAGTTTCCCATTGGTGCCAAGTTAGCTTGACCCTGTCGAGCAACAGAGTTTTTGTCTGAGCAATGGGGAAATAGGGAGCCACCTCATCAGGAATAGTATTATGGATAAAGGTTGGTCCCAATTCCCATTTAGCAGAGGAGTCCCCAGGATTTATGCAGCTATCGTATTTGTGAGCTTGAATCTTCTCCCTAATCTCAGGGGGAAAACGAAATATTGTTTGAGGTATCAGAGTCTTTGGTTGTTTGGCTTTTGATTTCTTGGATGCCATTGTTAGGGTTTGTTTTGTAAAAATTGTAAGGATGCAAGAGATGGTGCAAGAAATGAAAAGGCAGGCGTAGAGCTGAGATTCAAATTCTCAAGTTTATATTATGTGGGTATCTCCGCATTGGGTTACACTAAGTTTTTTGGCTAAGGCCCAATTATTTTGATAAATGGATCATATTAATATTGAGTCCATCTTTAAGAATAAAAATAAAAAAAAATAAAAAAATATTCATTCAAGACAAAACTAGTTTTATCTTGAATGAGGGGAGATTGTTGACACCAAAAAATTAAAAATTCTCTGTCGATAGAGGCTCAAACACGTTCAGAAGAAGGCCAAGAATGAAGTAAAGTTAGTGGCCTAAGAAAGAGGAATGAGGAGGCAACACATTATACATGGCAGTAGCAGAAAAAAGGGAGTTTAGAGGCAGTTGCAGCAATTGCAGTTAATGGACAGTTATAGGAGGATGACAAATGGGCACGTGGCAGCATAGCATGGCCATTCAAAGTCATATAAAAGGTGGAAGTTCATAGAGAAAAAGGGGGCTTCAACAAAATTCGCAACCCATGTGGAATTAGGAGTAGCTCTTGTACTTTGGAATAGTTTGCTTGTAATTTGGTCTGTAATTCAGTCTTTGTAGCCAAGTTTTCCTCTGTCGATTGCTGTGCATTTTGAACTTGTAATTTAATCCTTGTAATTAAGTGGCAAGTTTAATTGTTCTTCAATCAAATTTCAGTTTATTTGCACTTGTTTTTCGCATTACAATCTCCAAAGAAGTCCTTGAAACTGTCAAGGCATAGAACGCCAACCACAATTGTCTGATCTGTTGTTGTTTTGTGAAAATTCGGTTTCTCTGTCGAATCTCCTCTGTCGATTTGACCTAAACTAGATTTTTGCTAACACATACCTATTGAAAATTACATGCACTAGTTCTCTTAAAGCTAATAGATAAATATAAGAGTAAATTACACTGACCTCCTTTGATGTTTGTCGCCCTTAAATTAGTACTCCTGAGGTTTTGGAAATTACATGCCTCTCATTTTGAGATGCATTGCAGTTTCCCCCCTCCGTTAGTGCAACATTTGTCGATGTCAACACTGAATATTTTCAAAATACAAATTGACCTTAATGAAACCCAACACTTGTCGGCCATTTCTCCTCCACACATCTCTCACAAAATTTCATCAAACACTTGATAGACACATTCAAATAATTCATGTGTGAAGTGTTGGAGGAAGTGCCGACAAGTATCGTGTCATGTCGAAGTCAGACAAGACACATTACCTTCTTAGAAGTGTCTATGCTACTTAGTTTAAGAGATTGCTTAAAATTAAATTCACAAATAATTCCTAGGCATGCTAAAGTATTTTTAAAAAATCTAACTGTAACAAGACTTTTAATATAAATACATGAAAATCACCAAAGAACAGAAAAAAATTTATCACCTGAATTAGAGATGTTTTCCTACTAGTTAATTTCTTTGGTATTTCACCCTTTAGTATCGACCAAAATGTACACAGCTGTTCACGGACCTGAATCAGTCACAAGAAGTGAAGTAAACATTAAAACAGACACTCTGTTTCTGATAAGTTTTACATGCTATAACAAGAAAAATCTGTCATAATATATTCATTTCACTTAGGTAAAACAAAAAGTAGTGACCAAAAAGATTAGTTATAAACAATAACATTAAAAGGGATTAATCCAGCAGTAAAAAGTTATCCTACCGATTGTATTACACGCCATGTGGACTCAAATGGATAAGCCTCGGACAATCCAATAATAGGCTTGTCCTCTAGCAATACTTCTACACATGCTAGAACTGAATTTGCTAGAGAATCAAGATTGTATCCTCCTTCTAATGCCATAACAATCTTACCCTGAGCAAACTCCATCAGCTACACACGGCATTAAAAAAAGCAAACAAGAAAATTATGGAATGGAATTTACAAGAAATGCAAGTAAATCAAAATCATAGAACTTAAATTACAACTAGATAGCGTTGAAGGACTAAATAAATGTAAAACAAACATAGCATTAAGTTACTCATGCTACCACTTCTAATCATCAATATTGTAGAAAACTTCATGAAATCCCTACATGATAAGTCATTGTCTGTTTGGCAATGACTTATTTAGCTGACAAAAAGGGAAAAAACAACTTTCTCACGTGACATTTCCACTAACAAAATAATAACTTTTGTAACATTTGCCAAATACTTCAACTTTTTAAACTACTTTTTCCTTAAAAACAAAGTAAGAGAAAAAAAATACTAAAAAAGCAATTCGCAAACGCCCAGTAACTGAAAACCAAAAACAAGGTAGTCACAGTTGTTTACTCATTACCTTTTTCAATAGAATAGCATACCCACATGGTGTAACACAACAGCCCCCAAGAGGATCACCAATGGCTGTTCCCGGGTAGAGCATCATCAAAAGTCAGAATGTTAAATAGGACTAGATAAAGAATGCAACTATAAGAAGCCTCTGTTATATATTTGCAGATCCATTAGTTCCCATGCTAAAAAAGCATAAAAAGAGTGTAAATACTGAAAAATCAAAAAAGACTGTTAAAATGTGTATCTATTCTAATCTCCAATAGACTACCAAGTAATTAGTTGGCATCAGGCATTTGTTGTTTTAACTAGATTGACTTGACATAGAAGCTAATACTAAAGTAGAAAATCTAATATAAAGTAGTTTCTATTTAAGTTTTTTCAATATTTTTGTCACACATTGAATTGCTTGAGAAATTATTAGCAACTAGCTATGGTCCTTTATCGAGCACAATGACAAAAACAAGATTTATTTAGCCGACCCCATATAGTTGGGACAAGGTTTTGTTGAGTTGCGATAAGTAATAGTAACTTGTAGTTTTCGTAAACACTTGCATCTGATGCACTACAATCTGCAAAAATATTTCAATCAAGTTAAGCATCTAAGGAACATTCTATCAAAGGGTTGTAAGAAAAATATACGAATAAGGAAAATAAAAATGATTACATGATCTCAAATAGATTTGGTTGCAATTACTAGACCAACCTGCATCAAATCCGGCTGAGATTATAATTATATCAGGTCTAAATTCCTTGGCAATGGGGATTAATACATGGTCCCAAACTGCTAAATAGTCAGCATCTCCACACCGACCATTCTCCCAGGGGACATTGATATTGTATCCTGCACCAGGTCCTTCACCAACCATAATATGAGAACCATCATCACTAGCTGGATAAAAACTCCCGAACTCGTGCCTGGATAAGAGAAACAATTCCATCAAATCACCATGGCATATAACCTTATTTCATAAGATGATTAGATAGGACTTGAGCTCATCAAGTTCAGCTATGAACTAGAGCCAATTAAATCAATAAAATCACTTGTGGAAACCTTAGCAAAAACAAAACGGACTACAGTAACATCAGGAAAATCATCAAACACTTTCACCCCAATTTTTATTTTTTTAATCAGTACAACAAAATTATTCAATGAGCTTAATCATCTTCTGGGAACTAAAGATGACAACAACAATTAAAATGAACAAACAAGGGAAAAATTCTTGAGGTACCTGTGTACTGAGAAAAACAATACGCGAGGATCCTTCCAAAACATTTTCTGAGTACCATTTCCATGATGAACATCCCAATCAACTATCAAGATTTTGTTAATACCCAACTCTTGCTACAACATGAAAGGCAATAATAATTTCAGATTTATAATATTCACAAATGCGTTAAACTAATGCTACATCATGTTTACAGTTCAAATTTGAATGAACTTTGAATTAAATAATAACAAAAACCAGCTCACTCTTTCATTCAAGAGGAAACTTGTTGCAACAGCAACATTGTTGTATAGACAAAATCCCATTGGTTCATCTTCTTCTGCGTGATGTCCTGGTGGCCTGACAATAGCAAAAGCTGAATCCAACTCTCCTTTTGCAACTTTTTCAGTGACCTACTTGAGCAAACATCTATAATTAGGATATTGAACTTTAAAAAACAAAAATAGTGAATAAGGCTTTGTAACCTTTGTTGAGTTTGACGGTGGTTGTCATTTTTATACATTAAGGAATGAGATCAAAAAACCAAATTAAGGATCTATCTAACTGGTTGTTTCATTACAAATTTAACCTTTCCAGGAAAATCTTGTAAAAAAAAGTATGTAAACTGTAGGTGTGTCATAAATAATAGTACCAATCCAAAAAATAAAATCTGGGCGAAACTTGGAGAATAGAAATGTATAAAGTCTTCAAAAAGGATATTTTTGTTGTTAACATGTTTCAGCTTGCATTCAAGATCACATTGTTATTCAGGAAACTGGTTGTCTAAGTTACTTTCTCATGAACAGACGTGGTAAAAATATGGTAAAAATAAAATATCAAAATCATGCATCCACATTGCTCAAACCCTCCATCAGAACCTAATACAATACAACATGAATACACAAAGCAACCCAAAGAGTAATACCTCTAAGACGGAGCCAGCAGCAAGATGCGCAGCTTCAGAGGAGCCTTCATTGAAATATATAGAATTAAATTTTGCAGCAATTCTATGTCTTCGTGAATCCAATTTTTTGGAGCTTATGGTCTTGATCAAATCAATGTGGTTTTTTGTGTGAACTGCAGCTATATATTTATCTTCTGCTTCTTTGGCGCTCAAAACCACGCATCTGAAAGAAAACCACCCAAAAATAAAATAAAATAAAATAACTTCCTTCAATAATAGCATTCAGATTAAGTCCAAAAAACATTTTTTTGGAGCCGCAAATCTAGAAATAAGTATGACAACCAATTGAACCAAAGTAAAATAAATAAATAAAGTAAAACATGGGTTTGAGAAACATTTACAAAAGCAAAAAGAAAATAAAACCCAAAATAGAAAAGCATTTTAGAGTGCTCTAATGAAACACAAACAATTGCCAATACATTCCATTGGGTAAAGAAAAATAATAAAATATAAGACAACTTTGTGAGCCTTTATACTAGGTGTGTGTTTCCTTGTCTTCAAAGGAGTGTTTATACCCCTCATTGTGCAGACTTTAGAGCTTCATTATTCTATCCTTTTTTAAAAAATAAAATAATTTACCTATAAAATAAAGCAGTGGATGAGAATTAAACAGAACGTTCAAGACACATTCAATTCCTAATCAAACATCCAAACAAATTAAACCCTACTAGGGTTTTTATAGCATCAAGCAATCTCAACAACCAAAGAAACTTAGATTCACTCAAAACACACATTCTAACATGGATATACCAAAAAACAAAAGCTGATTCGTTGCATAAACACAAATGGGTATATGAATATGTATATGTATGAAAAAGAGAAAACCTTTGGGGGATTCCGGAGGATTGGAGCTTTTTCCAGATAGAAAGAATGCGATTGGGATTCTCCGGGTGGTAATCGCCGTCGGGAGTGAAATGTTTGCACATCCGATCGTCGTAGATCAGTCCTACGCGGCGGCGCCGCCGTGTTTCGCTGCCAGAGTTCAACTCCATCTTTGAATTCTCCTCTGGTTGTTCTCACTCCTCAACACAGTCTTCGAGCAAGTTTGAAATAAAGGCCAAGCAGAATAAGAAGAAGAGTCACTGATGAATCATCATACAGGGCTGTTTGGGGCCATTTCCCTAAATAAGCCAAAATAATAAAGGAATTTCTAAACTAAGCCTAGTTTTGAAAGAATTTTCAAAATGAGCTAACTCGCGGTTCACAATCGCGAGTTCAATAGTTTTTCACCCCTGTCGCGCGAAACCTGCTTTAAGGGCTAAAGTAAAGAAGTGACCAAACATAAAGGAACAAAGTGTAATTTACGCAAAGTTTATTTGAAATTCATTCATTGTGTAAATAACTTAACATTAACATATATTAAAATTTGTTATTGCATAGCTCGATAAACCTATATACATCATTAAAATAAAATTATTTGAATTTGACTAGTGTTTAGCTTGCTAAAAGTTCGTTTAATATCAGTGTGTTATATAAACAAATCAAACTTTGACACATTTTTAAATTTCATTAAGTTTTCAAGTTAAAGTTTGAATAATTTAATACTCAACTCATTTACAGCCCTACCTTGATGCAATCCATGTGGCGTCCTAACTTTTATTTTATTAGCTAAAATAGTAGGCCTATCATTCTTATGTTGGTTTTGAGGGAATAGGACATGTGTCCGGGGCATTTCCCTAAATAAGTCAAAATAGTAAGTCAATTCCCAAACTAAGCCTAGTTTTGAAAGAATTCCCAAAATAGGCTAAATCGCGGTTGTGAACCACGATTTCAACACACATACGCCTCTCTCGCGTGGAAGTGGGGAAGACTTAAAATCGTGGTTACAAAAAGCGACTTTGATTAAGAAATCGCGGTTACAAAACGCGCTTTTAATTAATTTTTTTTCCTTTTGAACTCGCTGTTACAAACCACGATTTTATCAAAAAAAAAATTTGTTCTGAATTCGCTGTTTAAAACCACGCTTTTATGAAGAAAAAAATTTGTTCTGAACTCGCTGTTTATAACCACGATTTTATCAAAAAAATTTTGTTCTGAAATCGCTTTTCTAAACCACGTTTTTTGGCAAATTCTTTTTTCATTAAGTGAAATCGTGGTTCACAACCACGATTTTAAAACCTATATATGATCTCTCAGCCCCGTGTTTTGCATTCACGCTTGTTACATTTCCTCTCTTCCTCTTCTTCGCTCCCTGCTGTCTCTCTCTTTCTCTCGCTCTGACTCCTCTCTCTCTGTCTATGTGCTCCCTGCTCTCTCTCTCTCGAGCTCCCTCTGATTCAGTACTATCTCTCTATCGTTGGTATGGCTTCTATCATCTACTTTAATGCGAATAAATTAGGGTTAGGATTTATATTTGTGAATATATTTGTGTTTGCATTTGTGTTTGTGAAAATGTGAATAAATTAGGATTAGGGTTCATGAATGCGGGGTTAGGGTTAGGGTTTATATTTGTGAATAAAATGTTGTGAAATCTTGTGTTTGTGAAAATGTGAATAAATTAGGGTTAGGGTTCATGAATGTGGGGTTAGGGTTAGGGTTTATATTTGTGAATATATTTGTGTTTGCATTTGTGTTTGTGAAAATGTGAATAAATTAGGGTTAGGGTTCATGAATGTGGGGTTAGGGTTAGGGTTTATATTTGTGAATAAAATGTGAATAAATTAGGGTTAGGATT